ATTAAAAGGGGGGGGGGGTGTTAATTGAGTAATTATTACTTTATTTTATGGAATTATTATCGTAATTGTTTATGTTTATATTTGCATTAAATTATTATTCATGGTTGTTCCGTTTTGTTGACAACCTGTGATAGCATTATGAGTGATGCATTCACCTAATTAAAGAAAATATAAATAGAGCAATGACTAATTTTTTGTTAGTATTCTCCTTGTTTTGATGGTCAAAGAAACTTTTAAAATTGTATTAAGTAGGGATTTAATTGGAGAAGTATAATTAATAAGAATTATTAATTATCAATATTTAGAGCCTGGTCAAATATATAACTAGATATAACAAAATTAGCTCATACAATCATAACTCGTTCAATTCATTCAAGTTTGGGTTGATTATTGACTCGCCCATTTATTAGCTTAGCCCATCAATTTTGGATTGATATCTAGTCAAATTAATTCTTGTATAAATTAAAGGAATCCCATAGTGTAGGATATAAATTACATCCTATCCCAACTAATTTACAATTTACAAAAAATCCCTTAAAAAGGTAGGCGACTGATACATAGCTACAATGCTGATACATTGTCACTGATACACACGAAGTAACTGAATGTCGCGCTAAATAAGGAAAAAAACGTAATAATTAAGTCTGTTAATTTAATTAGCTTAAATTACGCCTAACTGATCCTAAACATTCCTTATCTTAATAGGTAATCTACTCAGGCATTACAAAATTTCAAATTTCAAAATTATATCTTCTATATTGAAGAACAATTTGTGAACATCCATCGATTTAGAAAATACAAGATGAATATATCAATTTTACTGCGGCATTCAGGAATTTGGCTCAGCGAAGTGAAATATGAAAGTTACAAAAGTGATGGAATCGTTGTTGGACAATCAATTTCGTTTTTGAATCTCAAAGCAGCAATTTCAGCTGAGTTGGATATCGATGTATCAAGGAAAAACATTGAAATTAGTTACATCGTAGAAGGTAACTCGTCTCCGATGAAACTTAAGAACGACATGGGTGTTAAACTTTATTTAGAAGTGAAAAAAAGTGAGCCAGGATTTGCAATGTATCCATTATGCATTGACACAAATGAAAAGATTGGCAGTGATGTACATAACTTTGATGGAACATGCGGAGAAATTACGTGTGTAGAAGGCACAACACAGGATACAGAAGCTCTTGCGATGGTTGAATCAAGAATTTGTGATTCGTATTATATTCCAGAATTGGAAGTTACAAATTACATAATTGATTCAAATAGTATAGAGGTGAAGACAGGTCAGTTATATAAGGATAAAACAACACTCGTAGATGTGATGGCGAAATATAAGATAAAGAACAATTTCAATTGCAAAGTAAAGAGATCTGATAGACAAAGGTAAGCGAGTATTTGATTTGTTTTGTGAAGAACTGTGATTGGATTCGTTAGATCTATAAATGGTGATACCATTATTTTGTTTTAATGTATGATACATTAGTAAATAAAAAGTCATTGATTTTGAATTTTTGTTTAGTTCGTTGAATATGATTTGTGGTAGATTGATAATGATACAGTATTTGTTGATACATTAAGTTAATATTGTGGATGACATTTCGTTCTTTGACAGCTATTTCAGGATTTAATTGGGATGCAAATTCATATGTCCATACGTTAAGTGCATAAGGCATTCCATATAACCGATACAACTGTTTGCTAAGATTGAAATCTTGTCGGAGTGAATCCATGAGCTTTGTGAATGCAATCTGTCCCCAAGGATATACTTGATATCTACCATCTTCAACCATTAAAAATTCGTTAACAGATATTGAAGAATCACCAGTTTGAGCCAAAATGAATGTATGGAGAAAG